TTGTAAATTTTCGTGCTCTGTCGGAGCGGCTCTTAGCCGTCGAACAGACGAATACGTCACTACGTGCGACAGTGGAGCGCCTATCGCCGTTGGAAACAGAAATTGTTGCACTCCGTGCTTAGAACCAATTTTCCGTTCAACGTTTGGGCAGCCGAGCGCCTTTGGGCCCGCTTTAACACCAACGCTTCCGCGTTCACTAGCGCAGGATCCTGGTACGGCTTGAGCAAGCCCACATAAAACACCGGGTATGAGCGCATTCTTCTTGGAAGGTTCAGCGTATACGCAACGCCTTGCTTGGCCACGATCTTTAAAGGTTCAATAAACCGTGGACGGATCTTCATCTTAAAGACCGCTGAAACAGCATGTGTAAAAGGTTTTTAGCACTAAATAACACTTCTCGCCGCAGCCAAAGCCGGCGAGATTCGAACGCGATCACCCGATCTCGAGTCGACCAAGTCGTCATCGTCCGCCGCCCACTCTTCTCGATGAGAATGATGGCGTCCAATATCACGTGAAACGACTTGTGTCGATGTCGTCGCCAGGGTCAAACCCAGTATCTTTTGAAGTGGCGAAGATACCCCAATTTCGAGTAGTCGTGGGAGTTTGAAGTGCCACTTCAGCAAGAATGCCCAGACAACGTGGACGCTTATGATCAGAGGGATCATAACGTTCCGTTCGTCGTTGCGCCCGTGCTTCTTGGCAGTAGCCCGGGAAGCCGAAGGGCCATGAGTCGATCTCAAGCTATGGCTTTCGGCTGATGCAGTCGCAGACTTACCCGTGTGCGAGACCATAGAGCTCGCGGAAACGTTATATATTATTCCATGTGTCGCAGGGCGACAATACGCACGAAGTCGGCGTTGCGCCTTAAGGTTGGCAAACTCAAAACGAAGATGGCGCTCCACACGCGCGTTTACCACCTTGTGGCTTCGCTGTAAGGTAGACAGCGGAAGAAGTTGGCGGTTCTGCTGCACCCACCGCTCAAAGAGATCATCGTCGTCTGCAGCGGTTTTGCCAGGGGTGGGCACCATAGGAATTGTCCGCATCACGGGTACAGGGGCGCATCCTCTTTGAGCACGAAGTCAAGTGCGGTACCGATCCACCGAGGTTTCTTGAGGAACCAAGAAGCAAGCTCGGAGAGCTTTTTGTTCGTCAAGCTCAGCATCAATAATGACTAGTCACGCTCAACGAATTAGTGAGCGCTATTTTGCTTCTGTAGCAAAATCTGTATTCCACACGAGGGTCAAGAGCCGACCGTGGATGCGCACAAGAGCCGCCCTGCTGACAGCATCCAGCTGCTGCTTCTGTACCTTGTCGAGACTATTGGTGTTGACACCACTTCCCCCAGAAGTCGAGAGTTTGGGGACCGGACACGGCGTTCGCAAAGCTCGAGCAGGGCGCACGTCACGCCCTCTTTTCTTCGTCCATCCTGGGAAAGGAGTATCTGACTCGAAGTCGACTCCCCTCAAAACCTCGACGAGGTAATCCACGGTCGTAGCGGGCGCGGTGCGCGGTCAAGAGTAGACACCGCGTCTGTGTTCTTGGTCTTGCGACCTCTCGCTGACAATGCGTTGCGCGGTACTCGGTTACCGAGAGCTTGGGCAGCGCTTCCCTTGAAGCCGCGGACGTGCTGTCTGGTGTTAAACCGCGTAACTGACACAGGGATCGCTGAGCAGAGAATTCGTGGAGAAGATCGTAGTGATGTTGTGGTATCTTAGACACTCGAGCCGCGTTCGGAACGACAGTTGAATGTGAGCTGTAGGTGTTCACAATCTTGATGGGGAGAGTGTAATGGGGTATCGGTTGTCCTGGATGGAGGGGTGTGTGTTACACAAGATGGTGTGGCTAAACTTGAACAAGAATTCAGTGCGTAATTGATACAGCCAATAGTTGTACATTTGGTTTCTCTATGTAGATAGAAAAATATATAGATTTAGATATAGGCGACTTTGCCGCAACTAAAAACAGAGAAATACAGTTCAATTTTAAACAAAAGAGTTAATGATTCTTGGGATAAGGTTGTTTAGACTTGGAGCAAGCGGGTTGCGATCCGCTACACTCGTTCCGCTTGTAAGTATAGAACGAAGGTCATCGACCTTAACCAAAGCTTCTTTTAAGCGATAGAGCTACGGCAGCCCCTCTGTAGCCTTCATCTCACTGACTATCTGCTGAATCAGCATCGGTTTATCAGCTTTTACCACATTGGTGTGGTGCTTAGTAAGGAACTGGCTGCTAGAGTTTATGTCGCGCGGTGCCTGTACCTCCCGCGGCACAATCTGAAAGCGCGAGGTCTTCACTTCATCGAGCGTCGCTAGACTCGATCTCGACAGTGCTGAGGACGTGGAAGTAGTTACTTGTTGTAACCTCGGCAAGGGGGTTTAAACGAGATTCATCAGCATGTTTGCAAAGTCTTCGCCAGCACGCGATCGCTTTCCTTACGATTACCCTAGTTGTAAGCAGCACCTAGATTGGGACGCTATTGCTGCTAGTGGTGGTAACAGTAGCTTAGAAAAATTCGGACTACCAGGCGGTGACACGACTTTGGAGCCTGTAGTGCCAAGAAAGATCTCGCTAGGCGCTGATTTGTCGTTTGATGATCTGGCACAAACAATGGCAGCTGTCCTGATGGAGCTATCGTGAAACGATCGCTGAAGCAAAGTTTCATTTGTTATCCGACAAACCACCGTATCATATGATGTCCGTGTTGGATTTGGGTCCGGTCTGCCGCGGGTGTTACTGGAAGTCCGGGCAACGTCTTCAGCTAGGTCGAGCGCATAGATGGAACGTTGACCGAACGACATGGACTGGGTCGAAAATGAGGCGTTTTTAGCATGTACCGGGTGAGTGCGGTCAGCAAAAACAAGCTGGTCGCTTACAGAGCCGCGCACAATAAGTTCAGGGAGGCACCGACTAGAACGGAAGTACACACGCCACGTGGCTGTGGTGATCACAGCATGCAGATTTACAATTCGGAATGTACCGTACATCGGCTGTGCTCTGAGCTCGAAGAAGCGTCTCAGCATAATGCCTGCGTCAAAATCACTGTCAGACTCGACACATCAATAAAGAGGCGGTCGGCAAGAATGTCAGACTCGCCGAATCGGTATCTACCCCCGAGAGCCTCGACTTCCTGATCGGCGAGGTTCTGGCAGGCATCGTTTGTTTTCACCTTAAAGTGGATGTTACCACCAGGTGCTTTAGTCAGCTGACCCAGTTGCTTTGGTCAATCTGCTGCTGAACGACGGGATTGTCATGGTTTTTACGCAGCGAGACGGGGATTTGCTTGGCGCGGGGCCTGGAATGCGTGGTCAGTCTCAATGATCATCACATAACAAGCACGAGGCAGCTCGTACGGGCGAGTTGACTCCAGTCACCACCAGCTTCATAAAAAGCATCAACAGCTTCGATGTCCACAGCTTTGGGCCGTGGCATCTCGTGGGACATATGAGCTGCTAGCCTCGCAAAATGCGTTAAATGGAATCGATCATATAGCTAGTAAGACATATATAGTATTAT